AATTTTTCATTTCATTTATTTTCATCGTTATTTTTTTTTTGTTTTCTTCATTATTCATTAAATAAAAAATTGTTCTTCTTACGAAGAAAATAAAAAAAAAAAAAAAAATAATAAAATATTAATCAAAATGTTAGAAGCAATTGGAAAGGAAATATTAATTATAGTTTGAAAAATATGAATTTTTTATTGATGAAATATAAAAATGATTAAATTACAGAATTATTTTATATTTCATAAATAAAATGTTCAAACAGGAACATAAGAATTTTCAAAGAAAATAATATAATAAGAAATTTGATACGGATTATATTGTAAAATTGAAATTAACAACAATAAATTACAGATTATAATCGATATCGACACATGTAACGTGCGCTGTTATAGTTTCCGGCGGAATAAACAAAAATATTATAACATATTATTTCATTGCAAAAGACAGCATAGCATAGAATTACGTACCAGTGCTTAGTAAAATGAAAAGAATTAAAAAAAATACAAAAAAGGATCGTATTGTATTTCATCAAATTGGAAAATTTATATAAGCATATAAAAATAAAAAACTCTTTAGTACCAATTTATTATTAAATATAATAACAGCTTAAACAATAGTATTATATCATTGCATTATTTGATCTCATTGGTATAAGTTTTATTTAATACAGCGAATGCGTAATATATATTGTTTATTCTCATTTAAATTAGCAATTAATTAATATGGAATCATCGTTACTGTATATTTATTTTTATTTTTCAATCTGATTGAATGCCATCCTATAACTTTTTGTCTTTTTTTTTTTCTTTTTCTTTAGCTAAGAACTGATATGTAAATTAATACTTTGCTGTTTTGTTTTGCAAGGTAATGTTATTTTATATATTTTTGTTTATTTATTGCATTTGTGTTATGTATACATAAATAAAAAAAAAAAAAAAAACGAATTTAATTTACGTATTATTTATTCTTTTTACATTTGTCAAAATTTAATAATAAATAATTTATAATAATAATTTGTAAAATGTGCTCTAAACACTGAGCTAATGGGCCGATTTGACAAATATTGTATACATGCTATTTCAAACTTATAATTATTATTTATAATCTATATTCTACATTTTAAACTATTTTGTTGTAATAAAATGAGCAAATTTACATTTATACTATATCTTACGTTTGTATTAGGCTTTTCACTTCTCGTAATACGATTATTACGACACTTTATTTATATAAATTATAATTATCTTAAATATTGGACACGTAATTTTTGTAAAGCATATACAACATTAAAAAATATGTGTTTTTGTTCAATAAAACTTGTGTTGCGACACGACAAAATGAATAAAATTTGATATGGTAAACACAATAATACGACGAAGTGTAATAAGGTTTTCGCAAGCCGAATATTATAATTTTAAAATTACGTTTATCATTTCTGTTACACTGAAGATTACAGATTAACATACTTTTAAGAAAAAATTCTACAGTATTCAGTATAAAAATTTGTCAGAAAAAGAAACAGTGTCGGATGACAATTGAATTATTATTACACTATCATATTAAAATTAATTGTAGAGTTAAAAAAGATTTTTAGCATGATGGTGGTCTTCGCCATCGAGTAAATAAAAAAAAGAAGAAATCTTTAACTAGTAAAAAAAAATCATAAGATAATTTGTCCAATAATTTTTATCTTTGACTGTGGTGTAATTAAGAACCGAAAATTAATCTCTCTTTGATTTTTTGGCTATATTATCTGTTCTTCTATCCAAGAATCGATTAGTGACAAATAATCTTCGTCTAGTGTAGAATTAGGTGTAAAATAATCTTCGTCTGTTGTAGAATTAGATGTAAAATAAACGTCTTCGTTTGAGTCGCTAAACAAAAAGATAAAAGAAAAAAAATATATGTATTATATAAATAAGAAATATGTGGGAAAAGTTGAAACGCTAATATGCCTAAAAATGACAAACTTTTAATCAAAGATTCAATATCAATCATTTGATTTTTTTAAGTAATTAAAATACCTTTAATGTAAATTTAAGAATACAAATAAAAAATAAAACACATTACGATGAAAACTAAAAAAAGAAATAATAATAAAATAAAATAATTATAATTATGTTACTCACTTCGATGAAACTTCTGTCCTAATATCCATTTCGAAATTTAATTGTAATTCTCGTTTTGGTATTCCTCCGCCTATTGTTTTCAATAGATAATTTTCAGTGAATTCATCAATTACGAATTCAGTTTCTTCATTAAATTCTGGTTCTTTTCTTGAAATTGTTTGTGTTAATAATGTAGTTTCAGGTACACACGAGAGATGTGTTATTTCTACTTGTGATTTTTTTTTTATTTGATTCGTAGATGATGACGATATTTCACTTTTATTTGCAAGACATGATATTTTTCTTTTTCTATTATCCGTTTGAACTATTGTTTTCGATGAAGAATCTTTTTTCATTTCCATTTCTATTTTCATTTGTATATTTGGTGGGTATTTTCGAAATATGGAAAACGATGGAAGTTTAACATGGCTCATCGAAGTCTCAGAAATTTTATTTGTCGAAGAAATTGTTGCAACATTTTTATCAGTATTGTATTTAGCTTGTAAAATATAAGTTATCGATTTCGGAAATAAATCGGGATTAGGATACTTGTTGTATCTTAAATATTGCACTAAATTTTTAATTGCTTCGTTTGAAAGATTTGATCCTTCGTTATGTAATTGATCTTTGCGTTTAAGAAATGTTCTTTTTTCAATATTTGAACAATAAACATTACTTGCTGACAATAACCACGATGAAATTGGGAACATTTCTTTCAATCGTTCATACGAATAGAGATATTGTTTATAACTGAAACCAAAAAGTAGAAAAAAACGAATCAAATCTTTTTGCGTTAGATTTGAATTCATGAAATTAAAAAGAATTAATTTGCATGATCATTATATAAAAAAATAAAGATCGTATGAGAAAGTACAAATTTCAAGGATCACTTACTAAAACCATAAAAAGGATGAACCTATTTTTGGACTATATCCGTTAATATGAACATCTATTCTGTAATTTCTTCTGAAAATCCTATTGTAAATTTCTGGCCAAAGTTTTAATTTCGTAACTTCGACAAAACCGCCATGTGCAATAACGAGTTTATACAGTAAAAAAATATCCAGTATTACATCATTAATGTCTGGTAGTTCATAGATTGGTATTCCTGTGGAAAATATATATATATATAAAATCAAAAGACACAAAACTTTAGTTAGCTTTAATTTAAACAATATTACTCACCTTGTAATACCATAAATTTAAATAGGTCATCGGTAAACTTCACGCGTTCATTGTTGCAAACTTCCATAGATTTTAGATCATCCTAGTATAAATGAATCTTGATTAACTTGTAATAATGTTTTCTTTAAATAAATGTGCAAATAATATTAAAATAAATAAATAAATATATAATATATACACGTAGGGGGACACATAGAATTTTACAAAGAACGAAGTAAAGGTTCCTTTCTCACCATAGTAAGTAAAATTTGTGCCAATTCTTCGGATGACAAAGGTACTTCATCTTTCGTTTTCAATTGACTTGTATCCTGATCTTTTGACAAACATGATTGATCTTCTTCGAACAAATATAATTCGTTACCAATGATTTTGTATTCAGTATTATTCATTAGACTGTTGCTTAAATCGAATCTTTTTAATGCTGGATATCCCATTATTATATTTTCTTTATTTTCGATTTGTTTCTCAAATATAGATATCACCTGTTTAAATAAATATTCTTTCAGTTTCTCCTGTATTTCCAAACTATCTATTGTATATATTTCATCATTAACAAACTTCTTTTTTATTTTATCAAGAAGAATTAGAAGAATATCATCATCGATTACTGCGTTATCTAATTCTTTAAGAATCAGGTGAATAATATCTTTCATATGTTGCAAACATTGTGAAGTATCATAATCCATACGTTTTACATATTCCTTATCATAAGGTACTTGCTTCTGTATTATACTTTCAGGGTTATACCATGGTGAAAATACACGATTTTCGACAATTGGTAGTTGTTTTTGGTTTGATCCACTTGACATAAAAGATTGATTCTCTTTCTGTTTATTTCTTTCATTTTTACGAACAACAGGTTCCTCCATTTTTCGTATTTTATTCGATTTCTTCATTAACAATTTAAATTTTCTATTATCTATCGTTATAATTATTTTATCATTTGTCGATTCATTCGAAATACATTCACTGATTTGAAATTTTTTCCCACCTATATTGATCCAATAGAGATCATCATCAATTATATTTGTTTTGTACTCGAGTATTTTCATTTTTTCCTTTTTTGTTTTTTCATGATGCTTTGATATGCATCTTTCCTTTGATGAATTGCTTAAAATCTTATTACTTCTATCACAAAATCTATTTTTCGAATTTGAATCTTTGATATCATCGTCGTGAATTTTCGACATCTTTGTTAGAAATACGTGTGAATCTGTTTTACTCAAATATCAATTATTTATACTACTTGCAATATTGATCAACAAGAAGTATAATAAAATCTTCAAAAACACAGACACACAGAATCTTACGTTTAACGAATTTCAAGTTAACTTTCTCACGAAATACACTTCCTATCGATTAAATATTCAAGTTTTTCTTTGCACCGAACCGAACACCGAAAGTAACAAAATAATTCATTAATAATAATTGTAATAATTAGGGTTTATTTTTTAAGTAATGAAACTGAACTAACTCGTGCTGAGGTATCTACTATTCGCACAAACATAATTTATCTATTATATTATCTGAATCATCTATCCCCCCCAATAATTATCTTCA